GGGGAAATGTGTGTGCGTCTTATGCGAATGCAGGCTGCGCAGCTATCCCAGAAGCCAGAACAGCAAGAGGGATCACTGCTTTCATTGCGCAGCGATCCCTCTTGTTGTTCTGGCTTCCGAGATTCAGAATATTTTTTACTTGTTTTCCTCCTCCAAAAACTAGGTGCGTCTTGTGGTCTGGTGCGTCTTATAGAGCGAAAAATACTGTACTTCTTCACAGCCTGCACAATTAATCTACGGATGTCCCCCTGCCAAAGGATTTGGTGATGGCAGCTTGTTCAGATGGACTTAAAGGCGGATTAGACAAATTCACAGAGGAGAAGTCTATCAATAGTTATTATTTGTGACAGCTCTATGCAACCTCAAGGTTCAGAAATAGTTTTCCAATGAATAATATTTACTGGGGAGCAACTCAGGAGGATATTGTTGCCCTTATGTCCTGCTTGTGGGTTTCCCATAGGCATCTGATTGGACAGTGTGGAAAACAGGATGTTCAATGAGATCGAGGGTGGGGAGTCTATGGTCTTCCAGATGCTGTTGGACACCAATTCCCATCAGCTCCAGCCAACATGGTCAATAGTCAGGGATGATGGAACTTGTAGTCTAGCATCACCAGAACGGTCTCATATGCAAAGTGCATTGAACACTTTTAAAAGTGCCATCTAAACACTAAATAAAATATGCTATTAACTGTTGATTGAGAAAATAGTACAGATGTTTATTTTAATGCAACGTATGCTTATTTGCAGCAGCTCCATGCAGAAATAACATCACAGGTGAAGTGGCCCTTTTGATGTCAGAGTTATTTATAATTCACATTCAAATGACTTCACTCTGTTTGTAGAGAGCATTACAGGAGGAAATAGAGAAATTCTCACTCCATCCCTTGGCAATTTCTGCCTCCCTCCCCCACAAAAGAAAAAGAAAAAAAACCACGTTCTTTTTTTAAAAAAGCCACCCAACTAATGTTCCCGATATTTAGTTTAATTTAAACCCAGACCATCATTATGCAGCTCGGCATCCGAACCTATTCATCTCTGGTTCAAACCTTCAATTAAGTGGAATGATCCAAAACTCTGGGCACTAAAATGGCACGGTGTGTTTATAAACGAAATCTGTGACTAGAAAAATGTTGAAGTTTGGAGAATTTCTGGTAAGAGTCCACTCAATGACATCATGCAAGGGAAGCAGTGATTGGCTGGTGACGGGTAAAAATAGTGCTTATATCCCACTAGGATGGCCGAGAACAAACAGACGAACTGTTAAATCTCTGTCCCCTCACTCCTTTGAGACTAGCCTGTAAACTCTCAGGACTGCAAGCTGGTAAGTGACTGGCAACTGTAATTTTCTCTCCTCTTTAGACCACGGATTTCTGGATTTCTGACTCTAGCTTTGAGGTAACCTATGTTTCGTTTTGTAGGTGCAAATTTATCAAGAGTACAATTTCTCTTACTTAAATCATTCTCTTGCTAGCCAGAAACTGCTTAAACAGAATAAGACCTGGAATGTTTTACATTTTACAAGCTAGTAGTATTTTGTAGTTCTTTGGCTTCAAAAATGCTTGGCTGAACTTTATTTTACATCATTACTAGTGGGTGGAGAGAGGGCAGGAAGTCCAAAATTATTAACAACCACAATAACAAAAGTTTTCTCTAGCTCTATGTAATGGGCCTGTGATAATACATCCAGTAATAATACTTAGCATTTATTTAGCATTTTGTGCATGTTCAGAGTATTCTCCATTCATGTACTCAGCAATCCATACATTACTGAGTAGGTCACTGTCATTCTCTCAGCCATCTGTAGACAAGGCTGAGCCTAGCAGGTAACTGTCTTGCTTAAAGCTACTTGTGTTCCTCGAACATCACACCAGCAACGACCTCATTAGGAGGCCATAAGTAACACACTGTCTATGAGAACTCATCTGCTGTATGGAGGAAGTAAAATAAATGACAAGGGACTTCCTGGATCAATCTTTATATCAACCTTCCCTAACCAGGTGCCCCCCACCCAATGTTTTAGACTACAGCTCCTATCATCCCCTTCTGGTTGGGGCTGATGGAAGTTGTAGTCCAACAACAGGTGGAAGGCACCAAGTTGTGAAAATTTTATGCTGAGAAAACCAAACTAGGAATGTGGGTGCCATCAATTACTTTAGACCGTTTATTGAGGGGCCTTAGTCTATTTTAATGAAGTGAATGCATATAAAGCTGTAACTATTGTGATTTATTCCAGAATATTCAAAACTTGTTTACCCAGCCCCCGTACTATGATTTCAACCCTTACCTAACATGGGTGCCTAACTCCCAAATCCAAGGCCTGATCCAACCCCACAAGAAAGTTTTCTGCCTCCCCAAGACTCCACCAATTTTGATTGTAGCGGCAAAAGGGGGGACACAGTACTGGGGTAGGCAGAGGCCAGTGCCCTGATGGAGATGCAGACGTCCCCTTTCAGTCATCAGATTGATTATTTGAGCAGAGAGGAGGCTTTAATCCACCCTGATCAGTTAAGAAAGAGGAGGAGCTGTGTTCGAGAGAGCATGTGGGTAGCCACACCCGTTATTGGCAATGTCTACCACTGACATGAGGTCTCTAATAATTGGACAAGGATGACCTTTGGGTCAAAAAATAGCCGCTCCTGCTGCCTTATATCAACAGTGAAGTTGTTATGGAATGGATTGGCATATCAGTCTGTTAACAGGGCTGGATGACTGGAATGAGATAAAGATATCGCCTTCTCTCAACCTTCCCCACAGCTGGCCCATGGAATCAGTCCAGAGTTGGTGTTTTGAGGTTTGAGGAGCACCAGCCTCATTCAATTAACTTTGTATTACTTCCTATCCCACTGAGATCTATGGAGCTGTTCCAGGACAGCTGTTCCTCACAATATCACTGCCAAATTCTCAAAAATAATGGGTAGTTGGAGCTACAGTGAAATAAGAGATGCCTATGAGGCTATGATGGTCTACATTACATGATAGGATGATGATAACATAATAGATGCCTATACTATTACATGTGATTATAATAGGATCAAGAGTTGCTTTTGAGTATAGGACATGTTTGGCAGCCATATTTCAGAAAAAAACCCTTTTTAAAATTCCATCTTGACAGCAAATGTGAGGTCAAGTACAACATTTTTTATGTCTCTGTTTTGCTTAAGTTTCCTCTGCTGCAAAGAAATAGCAACTTCACGGTGCAAAACAGCCATTCTCATCGCATGTATAAAGACTGGTGGTCTATTGGCAATGCTGAAATGTGATGAAGCGTGTTGGTCACACTGAAACATGACCAAGGGAGAGAGAAGGAGGTGCACCAGATGAAGGGTACAGATCATATATTAATGCAATAGCAGCAGCCCGTTTCAAACCTGGCACAAGCAGGCAGCAACCTCAGCCAAGGGTCTACCATTGTTGAGGCTGATGGCCTAAGTTCCCTTTTCCAGCAGGGTGGCTGCCTCTGGGACTGCTCAAAGTGTCTCAGAGCAACATCACATTGCTGTGAGGCACTGTGAGCAATTGCAAAGGCACTCACCTCTGCCCTTTCCCTCTCCTCCACCTGCGGAGCTTCTATCATGTCCAAGCAGAAATATATGAGAGGAGGGACCACTCACCAACACTGGGAGGGGAGGCCATCAACATGGTAGGCCGTACCAGCCCAAGGAACATTGCTGCCTGAGGCAAAGGAGGACAAGACGGTTCTTGCCCCAATTCCACAGACATAAGCCACAACCAGCCAGAACTGGTAGCTTTCTTAGCACTGCCCAGAGCACAGCATCCTCCATCTATCTGAAGGCAGCAGGCTAGCTTACTGGGTTCATGGCAAACCATGCATGGCCTACATAACATCTTCTGAGGCCCTCCTTCTTGTGCCTCCTCCTCGAGAGGTCCAGAGGGTGGCAACACGAGAACACGCCTTCTCTGCATTTGCTTCCCTCAGGGAAGTTCGGCTGGTGCCTTCATTATACACTTTTAGGCGCCAGGCAAAAATGTTCCTTTTTAACCAGGCCTTTGGTTGACCTGACTGACATCCTGTACCCTTTTAAAATGTTGCTTTGGGGGGGGGTATTGGGTTATTGTTTTTACTTTGATTTTATATATTGTGATCTTTTCTGTGAACCACCCTGAGACCTCTGGGTATAGGGCGGTATATAAATTCAATTAACAACAACAACAGGGACGCGGGTGGCACTGTGGGCTAAACCACAGAGCCTAGGACTTGCTGATCAGAAGGTCGGCAGTTCAAATCCCCACGACGGGGTGAGCTCCCGTTGCTTGGTCCCTGCTCCTGCCAACCTAGCAGTTCGAAAGCACGTCAAAGTGCAAGTAGATAAATAGGTACCGCTCCAGCGGGAAGGTAAACAGTGTTTCCGTGCGCTGCTCTGGTTTGCCAGAAGCGGCTTAGTCATGCTGGCCACATGACCCGGAAGCTGTATGTCGGCTCCCTTGGCCAATAAAGCGAGATGAGCGCCGCAACCCCAGAGTCATTTGTGACTGGACCTAATGGTCAGGGGTCCCTTTACCTTTTTAACAACAACAACTCTGTCTTCCGACACCTTACCTCAGCTCCCTATCCCCTCAGCATCTGTCGCCTTGGCATCTGATGGTGGGGGCTGGGCTGGATCTGGCCCTGAGTTTTTGAAGGATGGGTCTAATACTCTCACCTTCTTGGTCTTTGGCTCTCAGTCAAGAGGCTCTGTAAGTTTGCCAAGAAGCGGGCATGTAGGTTCTGTTAGAAACTTAGGAAATTGCTTTATACAGAGTCAGATCATTGGTCCATCTTGCTCAAGTCTGTCTTCACTGACCAGGATTTCTCAATGAACACGTGGAGGTCATTGGTGGGCCCAGTGGACACAGCCTTGTTTCCTCTTCCATGTGTTTACTCTACACACATTTATTGTGTGAATAGGACAGTGAAAATAACACCTGTCATGTATAAATGCCTGGTCTCCCAAACTAGAAGATTCACAAGTGTATTTTCTTTTTTTATTTCCAGAAAAAATGAAGGCAGCCCTAATCTTCCTCTGCATTTTGGGAATAGCCTGCGCCTTCTCGGTGAGTAAAATCAGCAATTATTTACGTAGCACAGGATGCATTGTGAGCATCTACTTCAATGACACTTATCACTACTGTTTCTGAAGGGTACTGACCCTTCCATTCTGTGTTCTTGCATCTAGCAATTGAATTCCCTGCCAGATGGCCCTGCCTGCTGGCGGACCGTTGAAATGCTACAAGAAAACTCTGTGTATATTGGCAATATGCCTGTCTCTTGCTCAGGTCACACAGCCATATGCAAACAGAACGGTTGTGTGTGTGGATAAGTTGGCAGGAGGTCCCCAGTGGGGACTGGTCATGGATTGATGTCCGAGTTGCCTAGCCACAGCCACAACCACAAAAGTCATGGTTGAGGAGAAAGACATACCAATATCATTCATGAGACAAAATCAAACAGCTGCCGCTTAGCATCCAAGGAAGAAGTGTACAAGGAGCCTTCCCATTCGGCTCCAGGGGTCCTCTGCTTCTCAGCTCCATCTCTTCTCCTTGACTTCTGAAATATACTCGAAGTCAAGAGTGGATTTCATGCTCTTTATCCAGCTTATAATAGTGAGGAATAGAAGTTCCCCCAAAATGTCTGCTTTATATACATTATTTACATAATGGGCCCCACGTGATTGGCTAATTCTGGGATTCTCCTGTAGGCCAATCAGGTTGCGGATTCACTTCCACCTGGAGTTGGATTGGGTGGCTCCTGTGGACCAATCAGACTGCTGCATTCTGGATCCTATTGTTCTAGGACCAATCAGACTGCTGCATTCTGAATCCTATTGTTCTAGGACCAATCAGACTGCTGCATTTTGGATCCTATTCAACTCTACATAACTCTCTCTCTCTCTCTCTCTCTCTCTCTCTCTCTGAGAGAATAAATGGGTGATGGATGAATAGGATGCACTTGTGTGTCAATTTGAATAGATGGATGGGAGCTGCTGCTTTGCACCCCCGTGATAAATAACCCCCAAGGGAATGTGGCCTTTGGGTGGGTGGGTGAATTTGTATCCCACCTAGAGCTTGGATTATTTGCAGTTAACTCACAGAAGTGAAAATATTGCATCCTTTAGGAATGCAAGATAATTCCACTGGAAATGGAAATGTGACCAGAAATTGCTGCAGTTCACATGTTCATCTGAGGTTTGGAACCGAAATCATGAAACAGAATATAAGTGAAATTGGCCCCGTCTTTTCCAGTCTGCAAATGTTTCTGATGTTTCCCTGCCAGTGAAATGCATTGAAATTAATTACATAATTGATTTGATTGCTTTTGGCCACAGCAAATAGCAAGGTGAATAATGTAGGTTGTAGAAGAAGCTGAACTGCAGCAAAATGGAAGCAATGCTGGTGGCAACAACAACAACAACAACAACAACAACAACAACAACACAGGATAGGGTAGAAATCTCTGGCTTCTTATATCCCTATACAGTGGTGCCTCGCAAGACGAAATTAATCCGTTCCGCGAGTCTCTTCGTCTTGTGGTTTTTTCGTCTTGCGAAGCACGGCTATTAGCGGCTTAGCGGCTTAGCGGCTTAGCGGCTATTAACGGCTTAGCGGCTTAGCGGCTATTAACGGCTTAGCGGCTTTAAGAAAAAGGAAACAAACTTGCAAGAACTCACAAGACGTTTCGTCTTGCGAAGCAAGCCCATAGGGAAATTCGTCTTGCGGAACGACTCAAAAAACGGATAACTCTTTCGTCTAGCGAGTTTTTCGTCTTGCGGGGCACCACTGTACATAGTCCATTGTACAGTTTAGAATGATATACCAGTACTTCTTTCTCTTATCACACTGCTGCTCTTTTCTATATCCCATCCAACTCCATCCTACAGATATAAAGAGAGGTCCATCCCACTACAGATAATGAGAGAAAGAAAGGATAACTGTGTTGGTTCTTTGCTCAGCAGGAATAGCTTTGATCTATGAAGGCCAATCCTGCATACATCACTAGGTGTCACTCTAGTGTCGTTGTTTGGGGTGTGTGTGGTGGTGGGGTGAAGCTAAAGCAGAAGCAAACTTTAGTGCAACGTATGGACAAAATACAATTACTACAACACAACCCCAGATCAGAAGCCTGAAAGTGGGGAAGGAATAAAGAACACTTTCCTTTCTATTGTGGATATGTGTTTCACCTAGGAATCACTAAGGCCTGCACCCAAACCCATCTAAGCAAGCAGGGGGGAAAAGGAAAATCACCACCGCCTTAAGTAATCTCTTTTTTTCTTGCAGGTAAAAAATTTCAGAAGAAGATTCAAAGCAGAGGATTCTGAAGAAAATGCAGTATGTTGTCAACTAAATCAAATTCTCGGTTCAGAATGAAATGTGTTGATGCTTTCCTTAAATTCAACAGCTGAAATTCTTTTATCTTTTTTCTGACAGGTATTCAAGAACAGATATAGGTATTTTCTATATAGGTACCCCTACCTCTACCCACCTGTAAAGAGATATCAGGTAAATGCAATTCCTTTTCAAAATGTAAGAACCATTACTGAGACACAAAATAAAGGCAAATACAGACGCTGAGTTAGAGGCCTTTTTGAGCCTAATTAATTATTATATGATGGCTCTAGTGTTTTGCCTCTGTGTAGTAGCGAGTGGTGTCCATTGCGATTGGTGTGGCGGAATGCTAGGAGGCCAACAGTAGGAGAAGTCAGAGCCAATAAGAGGCACAGACAAGAAATTATTGTTTTGCTGTCATTCTTCTCCCTTCTGAGTTCTATAATGGCAATCCTGAAATTAAGGAGGAGGAAGCCACAGCTACTGCCACCTTCTGGATTGGATGTAGGTAAGCAGGCAGACAAGTAGGAGTTGGCTAAAAGCAGAATGAGGTTGCTTGAACAGTACACCATTCCATACCATTCGACATTTGTCCAAATAATAATAATAATAATTTTATTATGTATACCCCACCCATCTGATTGGATTGCCCCAACGATTCTGGGCTGCTTCCCAGAAAATATGAAAACATAATAAAATATTAAACCTTAAAATCTTCCCTATACAGGGCTAACTTCAGTTGTCTTCTAAAGGTTGTATAATTGCTTATCTCATTGGTTCGGGGGTCACATAACTCCAGTTCTTTTTTTTCTAAAAAAATGTTTAGGGGTACAGTCATACCTCGGGTTACGAACGCTGAGGGTTGTGCGTTTTTGGGTTACGGACCACACCAAACCCGGAAGTACTGGAATGGGTTACTTCTGGGTTTTGGTGCTTACGCAGAAACACAAGATGACGTCACATGCATGCGCAGAAGCGCCAAATTGCGTCATGCGCATGCGCAGACGCGGCGCTTCAGGCTATGAACACTGCCGGTTGCGAACGTGCCTCCCGCACGGATCACGTTTGCAACCAGAGGTATGACTGTACTCTCGTTTTGACTCAAGAAAATCACCATTTTATAGTTCAAATTGGGGAAAATAAATACAGTAAATGGACAAAAGTACAAAGATTCACAAAATGTTTAGGGGTATGCATACCCCCCAGGAAAAAAAGCACTGCATAACTCTATGCTCTCCAACATTTCTCTGATGAAAATAAGGATGTCCTAAGGAAAAGCAGGACCAAATCAGAAACCAGGGCTGTCCCTGGAAAATAGGGTCTGCCATTCACCCTAATAGACCATCTCCATCTATGTGTAGCCCTCAGAAATGACATATAAATCACAGAACCACGAAACCCACAACCCCTATGTGAAATCCCTTTTGTAATTTCAGGTCCTTGCCACATACACCGCAAAAAAGGTGTGTCTGTGTGTTTAGAATTTTGGAATTTTAAGCTGGTCCCCGTGCTGATGGCCCAGGGAGGCAGTGCATGAGATAACTTGCCTTATGCCTCTGAATACAAGTCACAATATTTCTTATAATAACAACGTCCACTGTAAAGATAAGAAAAGAAAACAAAACCTTTGCCTGCAGCTATTCCCATGGCAGTTTCATATGGAGGAGTCTTGATCATTGTCCCTTGAATAGGGATGGAAGGATCCCACAATTTTGGTTCTCTTCAGTATCTCATTTCCGCCCAGTCTTATTCAGTTCTCCACATTTCTTTAGCATTTGGGGGTGTGTGGAAAAAATCCTCAGGAAATTTCTTTAAGAATTTTCCTAATAAACAGATTTTTGTATGTCGTTTTGACCAATGTACACATTTTTTTGCAAGCCATTTCTCGTAAGGTAAAGCATTTTTGCATGTTATTTTTACAACTGGATTTAATTTATGCATACTTTCACCTAAGTGATATGCATTTTTGTATTAATTTGTTGGAGAAGTGCATTGCAAAATTTGGATTACTGTGAATGTCAAAGGACGGCTGTGTTTCAGGTCTCATATTGTTTAAGTAAGTTCAGGTTCCCTTTGAAACGCAAACAGAATTGACATTGTCCCTCCACCCCTACTCTTGCATGTAAGAGAGAGATTCCAGCTGGGGCAGGGGGACGCTAATTACATGTTTTCAAGGATAGCTCATGCAAGAAGCCTAAAAATGGTCCTGCTTCTGGGAATGTTGTGCCGGCAGAATAGTGGTTTGGCATGTCTCTTGAGTACAGAGATATTTTTGTGCTTCGCTGTGTAGAAGATGAATCCTGTTCATATCTTTCTTGTTTGCCTCCTCATAAAAAACAGGCATGGCTTTTAGGTTAAGGCCAATATAGACATACAACCCAAACATCTGTAGACTGCTTGGGTGTCTAGGTACGCTGTTCAGACCCCTAACGCTTGTAATGGGATAACATTTCCTAACCTAAAACACAGGATGCTTCTGCAACATTCCTGATCTTTATATGGGTGATAGGAAGAAACTGACATCTCTCCCCGCCCCCCTTGAGAGCATTGGCAAGGTGCAGATTGCTATGTGAGCTGAGAAGTGTGATCTAGCCCATGGCACTAAAAAGGGACCTTGAAGGCATAATATGCAGCTCTATGGTTGAAGTTCAGTGGGCCTGTCGCCATATAAAAAGCCTGCATGGAAGTCTCTCTGGGCATCAGATGTATGATTCTATGATAAGCTCCTCTGAGCTCTTTGGCTGAAGGTCAGATGCTGAGCAGCATCCATTTTTCATAATCCTTGCTTCTTTGTTTAAGTTTAGACGCATAATTTTAGATAGGTAGGTAGGTAGGTAGGTAGGTAGATAGATGATAGATGATAGATGATAGATGATAGATGATAGATGATAGATGATAGATAGATAGATGATAGATAGATGATAGATAGATAGATAGATAGATAGATAGATAGATATAGATAGATAGATAGATGATAGAGATAGATAGATAGATAGATAGATAGATAGATAGATGATAGACAGATAGCTAAATAGCTAGATAGCTAGATAGCTAGCTAGATAGATGATAGATAGATAGATGATAGATAGATGATAGATAGATAGATAGATAGATAGATAGATAGGCGTCAGCCAAAAATGTCCCCCTTTGGCTGATTAATATTCTACAACCTTTTAAATGTGTCTATGGGTTATTGTTTTACTGTTTTGTTTTTAATAATTACTTGTTTTTATCCTGTGTTTTATTCTGTGAACCACCCTGAGCTCTTATGATGAAGGGCTGTCTATACAGTGGTACCTCTGGTTACGAACTTAATTCGTTCTGGAGGTCTGTTCTTAACCTGAAACCCTTCTTAACCTGAGGTACCACTTTAGCTAATGGGGCCTCCTGCTGCTGCCGGCGCACAATTTCTGTTCTCATCCTGGAGCAAAGTTCTTAACCCAAGGTACTACTTCCTGGTTAGCGGAGTCTGTAACCCGAGGTGTTTGTAACCCGAGGTACCACTGTAAATCTCATAAAAAAAGAAATAACTTTCACAGTATCAGCAGGACACAGAACAAACCAGAGACCTTCTGGTTTTAAACTTTGAATGTGGAGCCTCATATATATATGCATAACAAGCATGTGGACTACCAAGCTCCTTCTGCACTATATATGTAATTCCCAAATTGGTTTAACAATCAATCCCTTTTCCCAAGGACATCTGAGAATAGTAGTTCTGTGAGGGGAATGGGGTGCCAACAACTCTCATCACCATTAACAAATTACAGTTCGCAAGATTCTTTGGGTGAAGACGTGACTATTTAAAGTGGGGTGATACTGCTTTAAATGTATAGTGCAGATGGGATTGTTGCTGTTTGGGGGGGCAGGTGTTTTTCTGAGAACTGAAGCTGACCGTTTACATGTGTATAATTCAGCATTCTGTTTTGTGATAGAAATACGGGAAATGCCTCACAATTGTATCTCTTTTTAGTTTAACAGTGACTCATCCGAAGAAGGCTATGGTGGTGATAGTTCAGAAGAGGAGGAGGAAGAAGAAGAAGAAGAAGGGGTAAGAGACATGTTTGGCATTGGTCACAACAAACCAAGGAGCATAAGAAAACAACCAGGATTGTTTTTATAGACTGTACTCTGCGAGCGTCCATGGTGACGATTACGAACTGCCCACAAGTTTCCATTCTGGTTCCTCGCAATATTTTTCAAGTCTCAAGTCATCTAAACAAGAAATAACCCTTAAAGACACAGTGAGAGATTGTGAGAGCCTAAGGTTTAGAAACAGATGTGACTTTTGTCCATTTATACCAATGCAGCTGTTATGGTCCTTAGGCGAACTATTCAATAATATTTTGTTCTTCAGTACTTGGGCAGGTCAGTTTTAATCCACCCTCAGGTATTCTTTTATAAGGATAATCACATAACTAAATAATTATGATTTAAAGAAACACCTAGTGATATATACAATCGAGATATAATCCAAAACCAATTGGGAGTGCATTTTGTGATATCGGTTTCATAATTTTTGACCTGGCAATATATTGCGAATCATGATGTGTGTGAGGACTGGACGATGTATCGTCCAAAGCAGGTTTGAAGTCCATATCGTGACATTGGTTTCATAATTTTTGACCTGGCAATGTATCGTGAATCATGGTGTGTGTGTGTGTGTGTGTGTGTGTGTGATGCAAAAATCACAATGTGGGAAAAACCATGAAGCCAGCCAATGCCTCTACATAGCTCCATCCTTATTTCAAACATTGTGATATACATTTGTACCTTGGTTGACGGATGCCTTGCAACTTGAACGTTTTGACTCCTGAATGCCGCACACCGGAGTGAGTGTTCCAGTTTGTGAACATTCTTTGGAACCTGAACGTCTGACACGGCTTCCATGGCTTCCAATTGACTGCAGGAAGGTCGTGCAGCCAATCGGAAGCCACACCTTGGTTGCCAAACATTTTGGAAGTCAAATGGACTTCCAGAACGGATTCCGTTCGACTTCCAAGGTACGGCTGTATTGGTATATTAGATGTTTAGTTGGTGATATATTGCGATGTTGAATACCAGATATCACTTCCTACATCAAGAAAATAGTTATGTTAAGGAGGAAGGTTCAGCGTAGCCTTTCCCCTGCTCCTCCGCCTGCTCCCTCAACTGTACGAAGTCTACTCAATCCACAACCTGGTAGAATCCAGGAAGGGCTTTCCCACTACTCCTCAGCCCCACTGTAATCAATAGGACTTAGGTCTCCTTAAGCCAGTGAACTTTAGTCTTATTTCCTTTGGATTGTCCCCAAAGAGCCATCCACAACAAGACCCACCTTAGTCAAACAGAAAGCAAGCCCATTGACACAAAAAGGGACAATGTGTCCACAAGGAGCAATGGTCCCTGACACAGGTCTGGGCCCTGGCGTATTTGCAGTGTTGGCTGTTATGCATCTTCTCCATGTTTGTGTTTACCTCAGGACCGTGTTAGCTCCCCGAGAGCCGATATAATCTCCTAGGTAAATATGTATCTTGGTATACATGTTATTTGGGGAACACATATTTTACCTGAACAGCCTGGAATAGCTTCTTCATTTCAGTACCGTTATGGTCTCTTGGGTCAATATGTGCTTAGACACAAGAGTATTTATAAAAAATGATTTTTTTTTTGCCTGACTTGGATGTCAAAAGCTACAAGAGTGTCCTATTGTACTTTTGGGGCAGATGTTTTCTCCCATGTAAATGAAGTTCCTGCATGAGAATCAGAACTCTACACACATTTGTCTCAAGCCCTGAGCCTTCTGGGTCCACTCTGTTAGGGTGTTGTTTCTATGAACAGTTATTGGGGGGGTGGTCTAAGTTAAATGTAGGCTTCACCATCTCACCCAACCTTTTACTATTTCTCTGGTTACTAGAGAAAGCCTTCTTGGCTTTCCCCAAAAAGGCTCTTTCGTAGGTTCTCTGTGTCTTCAACAATGGGGATTTACTTCTGAGTAGGGTTCTCCTTGTCACCATGACAATTAGCCAGCTTTCCTGAGGCGCAGGCCCTGAGATTTAGGGGCAGAATCTGGAAACTAGAGGATGAGACTCAATGGATCACAGTGGAGCCTGGTAGGGTAGGAACAGAGCAGAGCAGTGCCTGGTGACTGAGGGCAAAGGATGGTACCTGGTGGATCCGAATAAGTGCCAGATTGGGCTTCCAGGTGAAGCAACCTGGTGGCGAGAGTTATAAGAAACAATTATTTTAGGGAGACAATCACCTTGTTTTGCATCCTAACTTCTTGCTGTGTGAATGGAAGGAGCTTCTGGTCATAGAAGGAGAGTTGGAAGGGTCCCTAATAAAAAGCTAACCTCCTGTCTTTAATTAGGCAACCCCCCTTTCTCTCTTAAAGCACTTGGCTTCCCCTAAAGAATTCTGGGAATTGTAGTTTCCCCCACCAGAGAGCTACAATTCCCAGCACCTTTAACTACAGTTCCCAAGTTTTTTGGGGAAAGGAGTTGTCTCTCTTGGCTGTTGGTGGTGCTAAGTCACAAGCAGTCTCTACCCACGTACAAGGGTTTGTGTGAAAGAGTGTACACTTGTTGATTTGTACAGCTCAGCTGTTGTGTACACAGGCACACAAACTGTACACCCAGTGAAATTTACATGTGAATGACTCCACAAGCATGCAGCTCAACTATCTGTGTACACAGGTATAGACTGTACACTTATTGAATATATTGTGTGAACACCATAAAATGTACCAAAGTGCCTTTAGAAATATGTATTTTAGGATAAATATATGTTTATAAATGTGTACAGTGAGATAAAGGATACTGATAAATGCATCTCTTGTGAGAAAATACATTCAGAAATATATATTTAAATACAAATTTGCACACAGATTTTTTTTTAAATGGCAGATTCATGCAAAAACAGGATGGGATGGAGATTCTGATTCTTCTCTTGAAGATGATGGTCAAAACACTAAAACTTCATATATATATATACTTGCTGTAAACTGCCTTGAGGTGGGAACTGTCTTTCCAAAGAAGCAAACAAACAAATAATCCTCACAGTTGGCAACCCTAATTAACAACAGAATAGGGCTTTAGAGGTAAAGATCTATTTATTACCAGCTCTGCTAGGCTGTAATTTGCACACATGAGAGGCAATTATCCTGTGTCAATGCTTTTTGGGGGGTGGGGAGCGGGAGGTCTGAACATCAGGACTAATGTTTGCACTGTACCCTCTGTCCATAATATATTTTGTTGGGAAGCAATTAGTAATTAGAATGGTATGGAGAAAAGTACTCTAAAACACAATTTACTGAATGTATGTGAATTAAATATATATATAGTCAAAGAGGTGGCGGTGTAAATTAGGGATTTTAAAAGGGACAAAGTGGGGAGGGGGAATTGAAGACATGTGGGGCTGCAAGTGGGAAATAGTAGGTAGTTAGCACAGTCATAGAATCATAGAATTGTAGAGTTGGAAGGGACAGCGAGGGTCCTCTAGATCTTTTGAATTAGGTTGCAAAATCTTACCAATCCTGGTAAGACTTACATTACAAGCAGCCCTTCAGGGGTGGATGGAAATGCACTAAATGAAAGCATTATATTTCCCAATAATTTTTTATTGCGATCTTAAGAAACTTTAAGTCATTTGAAAACATGTTCAAAGGAACAATGGAAAAATATCACATAGATGCCTCTAGTTGACTGTAGTAGCTGACAGCTGCTACAGGGATGTGGGGTGCTTCATTACATCCCTTCCTTCAGAGCTGTTGCTCACCTATTTACCTATCCTGGCAGCACTTCCTTGTTCTTCCACTCTTCTGTCAGGTGCTGACAAGGATGTAAGTGGTAGAAATGCAATACTGCAGTTGAAAGAGGGCTCTTGGGATTCCAAGCTGCCATGACAGACAGCTGGAGGCTTCTATTCACAAGCCTCAGTATGCAGAAAAGCAGAATTGTCACTTGCGAACATTCAGAAAGCACCACTGTATTTCTCGGATCCATCTCAATGGTTTTGCTACTGGCTGTGTCCAGCCTCGACAAAAGCAGAACCTCAGGAACATTTAAACAAACAAGAACACTATAATTGCTTTTTATAGAGGTTGTGATGCTCTCAGATTGCTATCCAAATAGCCAGCCACACCATGCAATTTTGCAAGTTCTCGCAACAGAGAAGAAAATAACGTAGGTTTTTACTGGCACTGCACGACATCTTATTTTAAGTGTTTTAACCGCCTGATCCTAAGAACTGCTGCCCCGGCACAGAAGTACTTAGCTTGCTCTGACCAACAGCAATGCCAGAGCAATGCTGCAAAACATGACGTTATGCCAGTTTGTGGTGAGGTTGTGCCAGCATTGGGGGCACTGGTGCCAGTGCAAATGTTTGAGATCAAGTTTGATCCAGGACCTGAGGTTCACTTTCCCAGTTCGCCCTTCAAATATCAGATGCCTTGATGACAGCTATAGCAGAAAGTGCCCTAATCCCCCATCTCTCAGTCAAACTAATTTAAATCTTAAAATGTGTGTGCATCCGGCCCAATCGCCTTCTAAATGCGGCCCGCGGACGGTCTGGGAATCAGTGTGTTTTTACATGGGTAGAATGTGTGCTTTCATTTAAAATGCATCTCTGGGTTATTTGTAGGGCCTGCCTGGTGTTTTTACATGAGTAGAATGTGCGCTTTTATTTAAAATGCATCTCTGGGTTATTTGTGGGGCACAGGAATTCGTTCATTTCGCCCCAAAAAATACAGTCCGCCCCCCCCTACAAGTTCTGAGGGACAGTGGACCGGCCCCCTGCTGAAAAAATTTGCTGACCCCTGCTCTAGAATAAATACCAGATGCTAGTTGTGATTCCACAATGCAACATGCGTGCATTTGGATCATCATTCCAATATTAGCCTGGAAACATTTTTTTCAAGCTTCGTCTGTTGTTTTTTTTTTATAAAATATGGTTAGCAGTGTTTCCATTTCATTTGATCTGGCATGTGGATCTATCTATCAGCCGTCTCGTTGTCTGTCTATCTGGTGGAATCTGCACGCATGTTAAAAACGTTGTGAAAATGCTTTTTTTAAAAAAAAAATCGTTTTGGAAAATGCTTTGAATTCGTTATAGCTCACAACCACCATCTTGTGTCACAATTATATATTGCACTTTACAACACATTCAAAACGTTTTATTTGCAGCTGTATAGCTGAGTCCTCTGTCTCGATCTCTCTCACACACACCATGGACTCTGTTGAGCTGGGACGATTTCAAAGTGGAAGGTAGACAGGTGCTATAATTTATGTCACTTTCTGATGACAGTGAAGGCTTTTGAGCATCACAAAGGTCTTCTTCATATAGTGCATAAAGAGCTGTTTAATGTCTTCTCTATGCACCAGTCATAATCTGATGTAATAATAATAATAATAATAATAATAATAATAATAATATATTTATACCCCGCCCATCTGGCTGGGTTTCCCCAGCCACTCTGGGCGGCTTCCAACAAAACACTAAAATACAATAACCTATTAAACATTAAAAGCTTCCCTAAACAGGGAAGCTAAACAGATATTGCACACATAAGAAATGGAAGGAGAGAGAGAGTTGCCCATTCTATAAACCAGTGTTTACTGCATCTACTGAAGTTGAAATTAATTCTGATATTCCTGGTTTTTTATACATCTCCAGGGACAGTCAAATGAAGAAAACAATGAAGGTGGAAAGGAGAATGAAGAGGCGACAGAGGCTCCTACTGCAGCAGTGACTGCAGATAAAAAGGGCACTAGCAAAGCCACACCTCCTAAGCAGGTAAGATTGGTGGACCTTTAATACCCCTGCAATAAATGGAAAGCTGTACAGGTTGCTACTACCAGCCTGTTGCCTCAAACCATCCCATATAATGGGGTGCTTTCTTCTTAATAGCGTTAAGGCAAGTTCCCCTCCCATTGCAAATAGTGGGGTGGAGGGGAGATGATTCAGATCAGAACTGCTGTGGGGGGCAATGGGTTGAAGCTTCCATCCCTGCTCCCATGCCATGGTTCTCATCCAACTCAGACAGGGGCATATCTGTCGTGGTAGCAGCAAATCTGGTCTTCTATGGACACAGCAGGGCTTCTACCACATCCTATGGTCCTTCAGCAGGTGGAATGCGGACATGGGTTTGCACCCTAAAACAGCTAACATAAATAGAGTGCAATGGCAAGTGTAGCCCCCTAGAGCCCTCCATCTGGCCTAATGGACTTTTTCCAGGCCACACCTTCTCCTTAGCCACACCCCTCACCCCTCTTGTTTTACCTCTCTTGCTTGGGTGTTTCTTTTTCCAGGACAGGCCCTCTTTTTCAGGGGTAAAATTTCTGTCCTGGTGGACATTTTTAAATTTGCCAAAATGTGTCTGGGCTATACTTTCTGGATGAGACGTAGACGTAACTGGTGGTTGAAGACTTGCTTCCCTCTTCTCATCTCCTTCCACCCTCAGCAATATATCACAGCTTCTTATAGCCTACATATAGTAGAAGTATTTAAAATGAGAGTCCTCTTTTTTTGCTCTTCAAGATATGGCAACCCTAATTCTGATTGTCTGGAATGTGTCCCTTCAACTCTAACAATGGCTCTTGCTTGCTTGCAAGGAGGATAGAGAGAGGTGTGTGTAGAAGCTAACCTCCTGTATAAAAGTAAAATTCATATTCATTTCTCCACCCACTGTAGCTTTTGGGGAGGCAGGAAGGCTGCCCAGAGCATGTGACATTAGCCACAGTTCATATCTATCCTGTAGCTTCTTGAGGAATGCTGCTGCATTCTGCGTTTTCCTCCAAATCGCCTTCCATCCAATATGAAAATGGTAGTTGCTCTCACTTGGCAGTGAAGCCAAAAGTACATTTGAGAAGGCTGTGGCACATGCACAGATGATAGCGTATGTGCAGATGACAGCTTCATCAGTAGAAGTCTGGGAGGGGTTGCAGGTACGGGGAAACCAAACAGGTAAAGGGCACCAGGTGAGGCATCCCCAGCCCCTCTCTAGTATGTACAGCAATGTGGCAAATGCAACGTGAAACACAGTGGTGCGAAAACAACCTCGCTGCATTTTAAGCCGCTAATCCAGGCATAGGCAAACTCGGCCCACCAGAGGTTTTGGGACTACAACTCCCATCATCCCTAGCTAACAGGACCAGTGGTCAGGGATGATGGAAATTGTAGTCTCAAAACATCTGGAGGGCCGAGTTTACCTATGCCTGCGCTAATCAGAGTTAGAAACTCAGATATATATGCTAGGCTCCAAATGGCTCCTTAAACCAGGGTTACAGTCACCAAAACGGAATGCCTAGGGGGCATTTTGGGGGCAGATAGTTCGAAAGTCGTATTTTTCAGTACGACTTTTTGGTTCCTGAAATTCATTCCGATTGTACAATACAGGTGGAATATAACGGATAGAATTCTACAGGGTGTGTTGCTAGTGTGTGAAAACAGTCAAGATGCAAGAATTCCCCAGGCATGCACCTCCATATGGTGGAGACGTCAGGCACCATCCTGGCGCCCAGGCATCTTCACTTGGTTGCACGTGGCCAATAGTAAAAGGTAAAGGGACCCCTGACCATTAGGTCCAGTCGTGACCAACTCTGGGGCTGCAGTGCTCATCTCGCTTTACTGGCCGAGGGAGCCAGCGTACAGCTTCCAGGTCATGTGGCCAGCATGACTAAGCTGCTTCTGGCGAACCAGAGCAGCACACAGAAACGCCGTTTACCTTCCCACCAGAGCGGTACCTATTTATCTACTTGCACTTTGACGTGCTTTCGAACTGCTAGGTTGGCAGGAGCAGGGACCGAGCAACGGGAGCTCACCCTGTTGCGGGGATTCAAACTGCCGACCTTCTGATCAGCAAGTCCTAGGCTTTGTGGTTTAACCCACAGCGCCAACCGCGTCCCTTAAGTGGCCAATAGCCAGGTGCAAAATGTGCCTGGTGAATTTCGAACGCTGCTGCTAATATATACACGGTCAAAGTTGTATCATGTAGAGGGTTAGACAACTCCTGTTCACTGCTATTTGGGATCACATGAGGGCATGGTATGTTGATTAGTGGGAAAAGTTGTTATACTATGTTCCTAGCTTTCATATTTTGGATTGATTGCCTTGGATCACCTACCTCCATTCTAATTCTGGGTTTTCTCCCCCTTCCTGCCTCCCGCAATATTTGATGTGTCCATGCAGGGCCCCGTAAAGAAGGAGCCCCTGGAGAAACCTGGAAATGGAGGAGCAGCTAAAAAGGGTGAAAAGGACAAAGCTCCCGAAAAAGGAGGGAAGGGAGAGGAAGACAGTGACGAAGAAGAAGAAAACGAAGAGGAGGAAGAAGCAGAGACGGTGGACGAGAACGGAAGCGGCATCAACGGCACAAGCACCAACAGCACCGCAGAAGAGAACGGAAATGGCGGCAATGGAGAAGAGGAAGAGGAAGAAGGGGAAGAAAACGAAGCGACCACCGCCGTTCCGACCACCCTGCTCCCCACAGTCCTCCCCACCACGGAGTATCAGGACCAATATGAAACCACCACGGAGGACCAGTGGCACTATGACACGCCCTCTGAAGAGCCATGGCCATACGATACCACCACCACCGGTTATGAGAATGGCTATGAGGTTCAAACAGAATACTACGCGAGTGAGAATGGGCAGCCCCGAGGGGATACTTTCAGAGCCTATGAGGACGAGTATAGCTACTACAAAGGCCATGGGTACGACGTCTATGGCCAAGAATACTACTACAACCAATGAGGAAAAGAAGCCGTCTCTTGGCCTGCTTAATGTTTTTGCAAATGCTTACTCAGGAAGTATCACAATATAACATGGTGCCTTAAGTGAGAGTGGAGGTTGCTGTCTGTTTTTACTGCTAACTATGAAAATGTATTCTTTTTGTCTGGTGTTTTTTTTTAAATAACTGTTTTTGTTGCGCTTTTGACCAGTATTCATGTACCCGTTGTGGACTTTTTGTAGGGTTTGCAGTTTTGTTTTTAGAACGGTTCGGAAGTGTGTCAAATGGAGTTATTGTCAAACTGAAGTGTGTCGTATGCTGTACATGCTCTGCCCCTGTGTTTCTGTTAAAGTCAAGATGAGTTTTGAAACATTGTGCAGGCTGGATTTGCTCTAAGTAAAGATAAAGAATGATGAAATTGTCAGGCCATTTTCATTTCTTTCCACATTGCCTTTGGGAAGCGCAGAGCAGTTTTCATGGGGCACCCAGAGGTCATCCTATCCAGCCAGGCTGAAATTTGCTTAGCTTGAACAGTGTAAAACCCACTACTCAAATTACGGGTGAAGACATAAGATGAGAGAAAGGTAGGGGACTCTGTTATGAAATATACATATCCCATCTACTGAATCCCCTAACTTTAGCCAGACTATGTCCCCAATATGTCGTCGTCGTCTTCTTCTTCTTCTTCTATAGGCTTCTGAAAATAAGAACTATGGGACTTATAATAAAAGGTAACTGAGCCTCCACTACCCCTTATAATTTAAGTACTGTTGTCAACATTATGTGGCATAACCATAAAACATTCACATCCAGATCCTGACTAGCTAGGAATGAAAGGATCTGTAAGGTTCAGTTCTCCCAGAGTTTCGTCTTCCAACCTTAAATACAGTTCTCCACACATCTTGCAGCAATTTGCAATATTTTTTTGGGGGGGGGGGGGAATCCTGATGGAAATTAATCAGAATTTCAGTGCAAATTTCTCCTAATAAACACATTTTTATATGCACTTTTGACTAATGTACACGTTTTTGCAAGCCGTTTCCCATAGCAATGCATTTTTCTTGTGTCATCTTCACTAATAGCATCGTTTTCATGCACACATTCCCCAAATATATGCATTTTTGTAAACACATTTGGTTGGAGAACTGCATTGCAAAATTCAGAGAAGTGCGAATTCTGAAGAACCGCTGCGTTTTGGTTCACATACAGTGTTTCAGAAGGTGCAAATTTGATAATCAGGCTTTAAATGCACACCCGATTGGATTTCTCCTCCACTCCTAATCCTGACAAATATATGGGACCAGAAACCTCTCTTGACACACTTTTTCATGTTTGGACGCAGATAACACTGCAGATAAGTTTTCAAGTTGCAGCCACCAAAACAATGTAGAACTTCCACATTCCCTTGTGCATTTCTAGTCGTGTATGTCTAAAAATGTAAACTAGCTTTGATGACTGCTTCCTCTTCCACATTTAACTTCCCTTCAACTGAGTAAACAGCACACAAGTCTCACCATCATGCATGCAGTGTTTTCTACCTGACTAACTTTACGTATGAGGTGATGCTCACACACCATAATACTTTAGCAGTAAGCAGACAGAGAAGGAATGGGGAACCGGTTGCCTACTAGATGCTATTGGACTCCCATCAGTCCCAGGCAGCATGTTCAGTGGTCAGGAATGATGGGAATTGTAGTTCAGCATCATCTGGAGGACCACAGGTTCCCCTTCTCTGAAGAGGAAAGGAAACTCTATCAACAACTACACTCTGGTTATTAGCCCATCCAGGAGAAGGAAAACTCTGAACCTAAACCTCCGCTGCCCCATGGGATATTTTCAGGAGAAGAAAAGGCTAAGGAGAAAACACCCACAAATCTGGAGTGGAGTCCCTAAGATAATAATAATAATAATAATAATAATAATAATAATAATAATAATATTTTATTTATATCCCGCCCTTCCCAGTTTAAAAACTGGGCTCAGGGAGGCTAACGATTAAAATGTGACTTAGAAACAGCATAAAACAGCATAAAATACAACATAAAATGCATCATCAATATCAATAAAATTCAAAAATTCAGGGGTCATTTTGAGGAAGAAAAAAACACACCAGTCAGTAGACATCAAATGAACACCAGGGCTAACTGGCCAAGTTGGTCCTACTAGGGCCAGCAAGGAGACCAGGGAAGAATTTAAATGTGGGGTCCCAGAAAGGGTTTCTTCATAGAAGAGGAAAGGGAAAAGGGAACAGAGGATCAGGCTAATTCAAATTGAAGGTCAGGTGGAATAGCTCTGTCTTACAGGCCCTGCAGAAGGAAATCAAGTCCTGCAGGGCCCTAGTCTCGTGGGACAGAGCATTCCACCAGGTTGGAGCCATCACTGAAAATGCCCTGGCCCTGGTGGAGGATAGTCTGGCTTCCTTAGGGCCCAGGACCTTTAAGCTATTATTATTCATGGACCTTAGGGTCCTCTGCAGGACATACCAGGAGAGGCGGTCCCATAAGTGCGAAGGCCCTAGGCCGCATAGGGCCTTAAAAATGGTTGGATGGCGCCTCCTTCCAGCAACTCCTGCAGCCAAGTTGATGCCAAACACATCGCTCTGCTTTCCTTTGGCCCTACCTGAGGGAGGTCCTGTTGTCCAGCCAGCCCAGGACCTCCATACACCTGCTGGGGTTTTCTAACATAGATTAATCTAGAGGAGGTTACTTGAAATTACTCATCAATCACAACCACAGTATTTCACTCCTTAGCTGTTGCCATAGCAATGATTTACGCCTATAAAACAACTGTGAATTATGGCCGTTATTTTAATAAAAGCAGCAAACTGGAAGACCAGAACCTATTAATAAATCTAAATGGGGATTATGAGCAATTAGCTCCCTATTTTATCTACCATTTGCCCATGCTCTGCATTAATTTTAATACCACAGCAAATATTTAAGCTTTCACGGGTATTGACTTGGCACGGTACTGGTCTGGCAATCAAGCTGTGTTTGCTATTTCATTCCCTGCCTCCTCTTTCTTCACCCTGTAAGCTGCCTTACCCTTTAACTTACCTCAGCTCAGCCCACAGGTATATTTCCTTACCATGCTTCAAATTTGCTTGATGCATCTGGCTAAGCAGACTTGCTGCCTACAGATACTCAAGCAAAATAGACCAATTACTCCCTAAACTTTCCACAGCAACTTTTTTTTTTTTTGTATACTTAATAAAAGCTGCAATTACAACCAATTAGGCAAAAATGCATTCCCGGTACTCAAAAAAGCAGAACATAATTGCTCTGACTCACTCGATGTAGCCCTCCTTTTTAACTTTATCACTTTCAGTTCAACACCCATGATGGTAAATAAGATGGAAAGGAACCTACAAAACCACACTGAGTTTGGAACTGTGCCATACAACAGGGACGTACACATCCCTCCAGATACTGCTGTACTTTTAACTCCCATCAGCCCCAGCCAGCAGTGGATGATGGGAGTTGAGGTCCAGCAACATCATCTACAAGGCTGCAGATCTCCCATCCTGGCGTCACATAGAACAGATTCCAATAAAAATGGTGGCTCAGTGCCAGGTTCCTCCATCCCCTCTGTAATATCAACTTATCCCATGTGCTGATGTTGTGACAATGTGTCTACTCTGCCCCTGGCCAGAGGCAGTTGATGTGAAGTAGGAGTTCAGATATGGCAGCTTACATCATAATTATGCAAGGAAAGTTGAACTAGCTGTTATGCAGGGTAGCTAGCCATCGGATGCCAGGTGTGGCATGCGTGTCCTGCAGCTGGGGGCGGGGCGAGCCGCCCATGTGGGTGGGGCAAGCCGCCTATGGGGGCGCACTGCATTGTATACCGGCCAGTGCAGTGTAGTGGTTAAGAGTGGTAGACTCGTAATCTGGTGAACTGGGTTCGCGTCTCCGCTCCTCCACATGCAGCTGCTGGGTGACCTTGGGCTAGTCACACTTCTTTGAAGTCTCTCAGCCCCACTCACCTCACAGAGTGTTTGTTGTGGGGGAGGAAGGGAAAGGAGAATGTTGGCTGCTTTGAGACTCCTTCGGGTAGTGATAAAGCGGGATATCAAATCCAAACTCTTCTTCTTCTTCTCTGCCTCCCCCTCAGCTGTAGGGAGACTGAGGGAGAGGCGGAGCGCAGACACAAGTCCCACGCTGCCGTTTCAGGCAGCACAAAGCCTGCAGTCGCCCAAGCCACCACGTCACTCCCAGGAGAGACACGTGGCTTGGGCATACTGCAGGCCCCACGGTAAGTGCCGGGCCCCACAGTGTGGCGCCCAGTGCCAGCCGTGTTTCGTTCCATTTGTTGACTGAGCTAAAAAGTTTTGTGAGCCCAATTTTATTATTATTATTATTTAAAACTTGTATTTTTGTCATTTTGTCATCCTCCTCAGTGATGACACCTGCACCCCCTTCCTCCTCCACTGATACAGGGGAGAGTGGAATTGCCCCACAGGATGTTCTTTTAAAATAGGGTTGGCTTGGGATGGGGGAGGAATTCCATTCAGTTCACACTTTAAAACAAACCTGTTTAATTCTCACTTTCTGAAATACTTTCTGCAAACCAGAGGGCAGCCATCCTTCGAACTCTGCGTATCTCCAAATTTTGAAATGCAGTTCTTCAGCCAAGCAACAAATACAAGAATGCATATGATAAGGTAAAGTGTGCCTATAAATGCATATATTGGTGTAAATGGCATACCAATATATATATATATATATATATATATATATATGGAAATTGCTTTGAGAAATGTGTATATTAAGAAAAATGACATTCAAAGGTGTGTATATGAGAAGACATTTGCAATAAAATGTTCATGAAAACTATTTTCTGATGTGAAAATATGGAGAAGTAAATTTAAGACTGGAGAAAAAAATAAGAAAATGAGAGAAATCGAACCATAATATTCATCCATAGAAGTGGTTAATCTTTTGGGTCTCAAGGGCCAACCATTGGCCAACCCTCCAGGGGTCTCATGCCAGTAATGGTCTCAAGTGGCTGTGGTCATCCCACACTCACTCATGAGTATGCACACAGAACACAGGTGGTCTGAACCACTGAGCCTCTTGGGCTTGCCAGAGAGTTGGAAGTTCGAATCCCCATGACAGGGTGAGCTCTCGTTGCTCTGTCCCAGGTCCTGCCAACCTAGCAGTTTGAAAGCATACCAGTGCAAATAGATAAATAGGTACCGCTGCGATGGGAAGGTAAACGACATTTACGTGCGCTTTGGTTTCTGTCACAGTGTTCCATTGCACCAGAAGTGGTTTAGTCATGCTGGTCACCTGACCCGGAAAGCTGTCTGTGGACAAACGCCAGCTCCCTCGGCCTGAAAGCGAGATGATCGCTGCACCCCATAGTCGCCTTTGACTGGACCTAACCATCCAGGGGTCCTT